CAACGACTATAATCTGTAAATTAAATACGGAAGTGAACTATTTTAGATTGAATTAAAGAGCCGCGGTCATTGCGCCACGCATGCGCCAGATTAATGTTGATAAACACATTTTCTCACAGCCCACCGTGCTCTGCTAACAATTGTATATGGTGGCAAGCATGCGTGTGAGTTTTGATCTGGGTGATATGCAGCGTATCGCAATTTACTTGACATTGACACTATCTTTTTTTCTGATCCGCAAAAGACTAGTACTGGAAGTTGTTTCCACATATATGTGCGCATCGTATTGTCATAAATATGCGCGTTCGAACGCGACCCATACTCGTCCTTTGGCATCTTTGATACATAATTATTCAAGTTGTTCAGCTTTGTCACTACAGTGCACAGTATACTGAGAATGAGTCCTTAACTTACTAGTATAATGTACATCACAGGGTTTGCTATTGCCATGCGCTTCTATTATGGTAAGTAAAAATTCATTGAACATGTAACCAAGAGATTAAAGCGGAGGTGTCGTCACCTGAGTACGCGCGGTAATTGAGTCCCAAGCGCACTCTCCACACAGAGGGCGCTCGCTCCTAGTATGCTTCACGCTGAAGCAGAGTGTGGAGAGTGTCAAGCGATGATAACAACACAAGCTGAAAACGCAAATGCTCATGGGTAGACACTTGTTTGTAAACAACGACACCCTATGGCCGTCCTCCGCATGCGCAGATCACGACTTCCCCCTGCATTAAGAGGGAGTGGTCATCGCACCGCGTTAGGGATGGGTCTCAACGCGTATAACATATAATTCTATGTTTACACAAAATTCGAACATTCGCCGCAAGACAACTTTTCTCTCATCACGAGAATAATCCGCTGGACAATATTGCAATTCTAACGTTACTGTTTTGCTAATAACGAATTGTTGTCGTGTTGTGAATTATTCGAGTTGCGGACATATTTCTTTTTCCTAACACGCACCTTACATCCTTTTGTGAATAAGTCCTTTGTCAACTTGCCGACCGGTAAATGCGACATCACTAGCCGCGGTGATTTCATTTTCTCTGTCATAGAAAGACCGTCATATAGTGTGCTGTCCCGCGATCTAGAATAGCAGAGAGGTACATGCTTAATAATGAGTGATCAAAGCTGGAACAGTTAGTTTTCAAACTGTCTATTTTCCTGGCCACATCGGTCAGAATTTTATAGTGTCCACCAGTGACGCCATGTGCTCAGGATAAAAGTGGCATCTCTCATATATTTTAATTTAATTCTTATCTATTTTTCACAGGACAATTTTAATAAATCAAAGTTCTTCTAATTTAGAAAGTTTACACTGACAGTCGCCCTCTGGTGGTGGAATACGTACTTCTTGTCGACTTTGAATTCCATAAATGGCAGTATGTGGTGTTGGGCTGTTGGGTCGGGGATTGTCGTGACCCCATCATTCATGACCAGCTGAGTCATTTCCAATGTCCACATTGTTCCTGTCAAATAACGTACACATTACTTTGCACCACATCACATCACAACTTTACCCCAGATTTAGTATTCAACGTGTCCCTTGTGGACACTCGACCGACCGGAACATCTCTCTAGTTTGCCGGTACAGTTGTTTGATGTTTCATTTTACTCAGGTAATCTGAATATTAAAAAAACGTAATACTGTAAATTCATTAATTATCCACTGATTTTTAATTTCGCTATTTTCGCTAAAATGTGAACACGTAGAAAGTTTGTGAAATTAAAACCCAGTGAAATTGTTCGAAACATGAAAATAGTGAAATTAAATGCCATTGAAAATAAATGATTTTACAGTAGTTTTGTTAATAAGGAACTGGTCATTTTCTTTGGCCGGGGTGCCGATAATCTGATTTCGCAAAAGTATGACAAGTCTCCCCATCCCCTTAAGCAAAAAACAAAGCAGGATGGTCCCCTTCACATCATCTGAAAATACAGTGATGAATGTTGATTGTATCATCGTAGCGAGTAGCTTTCGCAGTGAGTAGCTTTCGCAGTGAGTAGGACTTTGTCACAAAAACTATTCCGTTCATCAAAGTTGAGAATTAATGTTTTATGTCATTAACAACTGGTGTTAATCTGGAAATACCATCTTTAGGAGCTGTTAATTTGTCTTTATGTTTTGTGCAGTTGCTGTGGCAGGAGTTCCTAAATAAGACCCATGCTCTGATAATATCATCTAGTTTCTTACTCTGTGTCAGCATCCTTTATTTCATGTTTTTGTCATATTAACAGTGTTGGTGTTGTACATAATAGCATTGGTGATGCCGTCCATGACAGTGTTGTTAGTCAAGGCAATGGTGATTATGGCATCCAATGAAAGCGTTGTTGGTCATGGCAGCAATGATGCTATTAAATAACACTTGTGATTTTTAAATGGTGGTGATGATATTTACATTTGAGAGTTACACATAGTTCATATACCAAGTTATGTTTTATTAATGATAAATTTCATTTCAAATATATCATACTCATTTTTCCTACCTTCTTTAGTATTGTACATTATGATGAGTTGAGCACTGATTGTTTATTAACAAATATAAAACACAATAAACTTTATATTACAAAAATAAAAGTTTGAACTTTGAAAGTGTTAAAAGAAAGTTCATGAACTTGAATATTTTTGTACAATAAAAAATGTACAATAATCATTAATGTAAATATTGTGTTTGTTTAAACTATCTATTTTTTTCTGCACAAATCAACATTGATTGATGGGGTCCCAGTCAATGAAAAAAGGCATGCCCCCAATCAATTTCAAAATTGCTTGGTCCCCCCGTTTTTCTCGGCACCCCAAGCCGAAAAAAATGACCAGTCCCTAAGGGTCGGTGGTCGTCGCGCCGCGTCGTGGTCGATGTGGGACTAATAGTGACGCACAGAACGCGTGTAAAATACATTTGTTTGTTTACATGAAATTGAACACGCGCTGCGAGACGACCACCTGCTTTTAAAGCCAGTTTAAAACATATTCCGTGGTCGTTAAATTGGTAATTGTATTTGAGATGCTGAATTGTTCGAGTTACAGACATCGAGTTACGAAAACATCACGCAAATGACCATGCCCGTATTTTAGAAATCACGACTACTTTTGAGAAATCACTCCCAAATT